GCTGCCGCAGGGGCCTCGATTATATGGAGTGCTTGGTTACACTGTTATCCGTTGGCGAGACGGCAGCATATTGCCACACAAACATTATTTGAATATATAAACTGAATCATATACATAATTGACACGATATATATATATATATATATACCATAGTATATATATATATACATATCATACATAATACATATAGTATATATATAATTATATATAATGTAATATGCATATATCTATGCATATATATATGCCTTCAAATGACCCGACCAAGACTTCACTACTCTCCATGCCGCGACCAAGACAGTATGTGCGTCGCGACGGAGATCGACAAATCGACCAGGTGTCTAGAAAAATTTTGGCGCCCAATTTACAGAAGAGTGTTATCTGCTGGGTGGGTACAATATTGTTCTTGTATAATATTCTTGTATAATATTGTATTGTACAATAATCTTGACCATAGGGCCTTGGGGAAGACCGCAACATCTGGGTAGTGCGGAGGATGAAATTCCACTCTCGGGCTGTAGTGCTAACAATGTCTGAAATTTGAGCGTGTCTTGGTGCTTTTGGCCCCAAGGCGTTTTGTCCTCCAGAAATGTATACTGGAGAAAACATGAAAACTCATACCACACACAGATTATATCACGCACACACACGCACACTCACACTCAGAATCATATCACATACCCATATGACATGCATACACATAACACACATATCACACGTATACACATATCATAACACATCATATGACACACAAAGGCATATCATATCGCACAATTGTTTCCTTTCGATGCACTCAGTGCCAAGGTCCGTTGCTCCTCATCAGCACATGCTCAATTCACCTGCTGTAAACCCACCTACACCCATGCGCCCAGAAGCACCACCCTCCGATCCCGCTGTAAACAATCGACTGCCTGACCGTGCGGACAGGCAGGGAGAGCGGAAAAACGGCAGAATCTAAAATACTGGCATATGACGCAGACACGCAAGTTTTTCGAAACAACTCGTGCGAATCGCCTTGAACCTTCACCAATCAATCCTGTGCAATGAGGTGAGTCATAGGAAGGCAATATCGAGACCTAACCTGAGGTCAAACATCTCGAAAACGCGAAGGGAAAATTATACAGGCAAATGTAAACAACTCAGATCTCAGAACCTACTGGACCAATCACCGTGAAATTTTCACCATTGGATGCCCCCAGACCTGATTCTACATTGCAACTCCAAATTTAGTGATCCTAGGTCAGGTCAAAGCTATTCAAAGTTCACAAAGTCCAAAATTCCGGATGCCCCGTACCTGATTCCCTCTCGCAGTTCCAAGTTTCGTGACCCTAGTAAAATCGAAAGTCGAAAAATTTCACAAAATCAAAAATTCTTGCTTGCAGACAGTTTATAGCTCAGAATGTACCAAGCCGATAGCTGCCAAACCTTGCCATTCAGTACGCTATCTACCCTCATTTTATGTGGAACTGCAAGCATGGTGCCATTCATAACTATTTTATCCTTTATGCCTGTTCCCAAGGAAAAGTGCATCTTGGTTAGGCAGGCCTTGTGAGGGTAAATTTCTTTAGCGAAGGTGTTGTGCTAAAAATCATGCGCAGAATTGCGCATGAAAATGCCACAATTAACGCCTCCGCTAAGCAGAAATTCAACCTCACACGCTCAGCGTAACCAATCCGTACATTATGGGGGAATAAACATAAAGTAAAAGACGCAATTATAAATGGCAGCCTCAACAGAAGATTAGGGTAGATGGCGTACTGAATGGTACGGTTTGGCAGTTATCGGCGTGGTAGATTCTGAGCTATGCCTGCAAGCAGTAATTTTGGATTTTGTGAAATTTGACGATTTTAAACTTACCTAAAGTCACCAAATTTGGAACTGCGACGAGGGAATTACATATGGGGCATCTTATGGTGCAGTTTTGGCAGTGATCAGCTCGGTAGGTTTTGGGCTATAGGTGGTCTGCAAACAAATATTTCGGACTGTTAACTTTGACGACTTTTTACATGATCTAGGGTCACTAAATTTGGAACTGCGATGGAGAACCAGGTATAGGGCATTCAATCGTGAAGGCTTCAGAGTGATCGGTCCAGCAGGCTCTGAGATCTGAGTTGCCTGCATTTGCATGTCAAATTTTCCCTTCGTGTTTTCGAGATGTTTGACCTCAGGTCAGGCCTCGATATGCCTCCCCCTGACGCTCCCAATGCACGGATTTGATTGGTGAAGGTTTCAAGGCGATGGGACAAGCTGTTTCGGAAACTTGCGTGTCTGTGTCATGTGCCAGTTTTTAGACCATGGCGGAAAAACAGCAAAACAGCTCGTAAACGTCGCAATTTAACGTATCTGGATTGCACACTGAAATAGTCTTAACACGACAAAAATTACATCAAAATACATTATGTCATACTAGCACATACACAAAAAGGTAACGTAAATTGATCACATCTTGAGTAAAACATTTGAGCGGATAAAGAGGAGACTGTATAAGAA